AGGCTGAAATATCCATTATAACTGATCTGTGGACTTTACTGCCTGAAGACAGGAAACTTTCAGGTAAGCATGGAATTTTCCTGGTATGGAGTGCAGCATAACGGGATTGGGCCCACAGTTTGAGGATGTGACAGATTGCTGTAGATCTGTACTAAGTTATGTCACCTAATTTGTTTTTTGACTTCCATTTTATATCAGACCTTGTGTCCTCTATTGGGATCCAGCTTGAACTGGTATATGTGTAGCTTGTTTTTAATGTATAAAACGGCCGGAAAAGGAGGAGGTGTTTCTTACCTGGTGGAGAGCTGACATTAGGAAGAGTCATCCAGACTGATTTGCAACTAAATATAGCCTTTTATGGTATATTTGGTGGTTCTTTTTGCTAATCAGGCAGATACACTATATATAGCTTAACGTATATTTATTCAGATTCTTAATTTTTATTACTTTTATTTTGCAAGAAAATGATGAATAATACACTTCTTATTTACCAGATGATGATTCATTTTTTTACTCGTGCTTTGTGTCAAGTTCTATTTGGATGGAAATTCAATTTAAAATGCACAAAAACAGTATTTTAACATTGATTGATTATTTAAATGAAACTACCTAAAGATGTTCCACATGCATAAGAAGAAAGTTATCAGAACAGTTATCAAAACATGTTTTATATTTAAAACTAATTGATTTATTAAGCAAAGGAAGTATGATCTATAGTTAGTGAATTGAACTGATTATTTCTGTTCATCATGTCCTTAAAGATTTTAGAACTAGCAAATCTCATCCTCTCAACTAGTCATGGAACTCAACTAGTTGAATAAACTGAAATGAAGAAGATCCTCTTTCTGGACCTGCAGAAGAGGTTACTGCTGTTGAAAGCTGGTTTAGCACGTCATAGCACGTCTAGGTTCAGGTGCTTAGGGAGTGATTTCCACCAGTTCAGCAGTCTGACTTTTAAAAAAAGCTTGGCAGCAAACATGTACTGCTTAATATTTTTTATTTAATTTAAATTGTTTTAATAGATTATACTAAGTTTAGGCCTTAACAGAGGTTGTTATAATTTCAAATGTAATTTTAAGTAGGTTTATTTTTTTTAAATAAGTATTTAATTTAAATTAAAAAATCCGATATACAAAACATTAAAAATCAGCCATTTTTATCCATCCTGCTGCCAAGAGGGGAGAGTGTTCCTGAGTGACTCAGAGCTATTAATAGGGATGAGTCACTATCCAGACCTAGGGAGCTTTGGAGCATATGGTCATCAGTGGTTGGATCTCCTCACAACAGACTCGTATCCATTCAGAGGATGGAACTGGACTGGGTTGTGACAGAGAACTTCCTTGTGCAAAGCATATTTAGTAGCTCCTGTATTGTAAACCTAGAAGAGCAGGGCCATACTGTGAAAAGTGCTCTGCACCCAGTGGTTGCCGTTGTTCTCAGCAGGGGGAATCAGGATTCCATGCCCTTTTGAAAATCTGGCCCACAGGGTTGTGTGCTCGTTTCAGTTTTCGGAAGCTGCTTTAAGAAGGGAAGTTTAATTAGCAGTTTTAGCTATGTGACACTCCTGAATGAACTGTGGTGGGATAAGATATGACATGACAGGCCCTGTAATTTAAACTTTTAAATGTCATTAAGGGAGTAAAGGTCTTTATTTGCTGCAGTTTTAATACCTTCCATTTGTAATCCTTGAGGATTACTGTATTTTAATGAAATAATCTTTATCCTTGTACAGTTTGGTTAAATGGTATACCTATCAGAGTCCTTATTTGTAAGTATACAAGAAACTCACAAACACTGCATCTCCTTTTTAGAGGATTCCAATAACAGTGATAATTATTATATAGTTATATCATTGTAACACTTCATAACACATTTATATAGACTTAAAAGAAACTTGATCCCTGCTGCAATGCTCTGCATTGACAAAGAGAGGGTAGAGGAGAGGCAAATAGGTTGAGAAGTCCTGATATTCTCTTCAATTGAAAATAAGGTAGTGGAAAAGGGTGTGAAGGAGACTGGTGAATACCCAAATGGAACAAGTGGGTTTTGAGGAGGGATTCAAAGGAGAATGAGTATACTGAAAGGCAGGGCCGGCTCCAGGCACCAGGAAAGGAAGCAGGTGCCTGGGGCAGCCAATAGAAAGGGGCAGCACTCCGTCTGTCATCAGGGTGGCACTTCCAAGTCTTCGGTAGCGGGCCCTGCAGTCCCTCTCTTCCTCTTCAGCGGCACTTCGGCGGCACCTCAACCAGGCTTGGTGGTTGTTTTTTTTCCTTCGCGGCAAAAAAGCTGGAGCAAGCCCTGCTGAAAGGTGGGGAGGAGTGTCATTTCTGGAGAAGGGAGCAGCGTGAGAAAAGGCACACAAGCAAGAGTGGGAAGGTGCTGGAATCTCAAAAGAGACAGAATCAGGAAATTATATTGTGACTGTTTCATGGGGGTCAGCAGATTTGTTTGGTCTGTTCTGATATCCAGAAGCAGCATGCCTGCAGTGTGGTTTGTAAAGCAAGAGTGGTTAGATCAACAACAACCTTTCACTGCTCCCATCATGGTCTAATATAGTCCTCAGCACTACATTTGAAGCATTCATATCTGCGGTAAGCGCTTTTAAAAACTTTCCAATTTGTTCTCTAATCATTAGCTACCTTTACCACTGTATTGCCTCAACTGCCATTGTTTAGTTACAAAGGTGACTGAAAAGGTTGGTGTTTTTTATACAACCCTATACCTTTGCATAGCTTCCAGGCTCGCATGAAGCAGAGCAGTGTGCAATCACCTTACTTCCATTCACCACAAAATGTTAATGGGGGGACAGAGGTCTACAACACCATAGAAGCAATGGAGCATTCCATCTAAAAAAGGAATGATGGCTAATCACTAATGGTAGTGTACATAAGCACCATAAGTGGTACCATGTGTCAGGAAAAGAGGAGCAGCTCCTAAAGACTACCTACCTGGAACATCATTTGTAATTGTTCTGCAATATTCATATTCTGAATTTCAGCATCTCTGTGAGAAAGCAAGAAAAATTACTCTTTTTTCATTTTATTGCAGTGATTGGTATTTCTTTCTACTTAGTTGATCTGCAGTGTCCATTTGTGTATCTATATATACACATACTTACATACATATTTGTTAATGAGAACAAGTGTCCTGGTTGTGATGTCCATTTACTACTTTCATTCTGGATGGAACTTAGTGCCTGAAGGTCCCTGTTGCTTCCTCTTCTCCAAATAGAAGATTTTTGGAGCTTGTACAAAACTGAATGAAAAAAGCTCCCTATGAATATCAAGAAATCAGTGAGCTACCTAAGGAAGTAAGCCTGAGTGAAGCCACTGTAATAGTCTTTGTACCCCACCTTCACAGCCAATTACACAAATTGACCTGACGCACTCCTTAATCAAACTTTTTTGCTACTAAGCAGGCGGTTTTCACAGCTCAAATAATCAGGGAAAAGTTGAATGTTTATTTTCACCTTAAAAAATTCCCAGACTGCCCTCCCATAGGTGAAGTATCTGTTGTCCCAGAAACTTGGCATAGAATCAGCAGACTTTAAATGCTAGCCAATTAAATGAGTGTGAATTCAATCTATTTCCTGTACCCTTGATTCATTCTCAGAGTTGTAAAAGAGTTTTTATAATGAAATTACCTCTTTAGTGTTATCATACTACAGTAGGGCTTTCAGTTACTTCATTAAACAATTTGTGCCAATTTTGAATTAAACAGACTGGAATAGCCTCTGCCTGCTTCATGGGTGGGGTGATAATGGTGATACATTGTAGCAAAAAAATATTAAATTCACAGGTATTTTTAGAAAACTTGCTGAATCCCTAATGCAAAGGTAAAAAGCTTTCTTCTGTTTCCCACTTATATTCTGCTGTAGTTGAATGCTATGTGAAAATTGCCAGGACAGTGATCAGGACTGTAATAATCCATTAGAGCAAAAGTTGGATTCAGTTCTTACTCAATGAGTATGAGATTTTAGAATTACCATTTAATCAGCCTATGTATCAGTGGCATTAGACCAGATGAAGAGAGACCTGCTTCTGGAGTCTATTTTAGTTTTCAAACTGGAGAAGAAGCTGTCCTTTGATGACAATTATTTCTGAACAGGAAAAGATCTTTAGAAAATTAGTCACAGTTAAAACTCATTAATACATACTCTAGTGTTCCTCCTGTTTTAACTCTGCTGAGAAATCCATCATGGAGAACAGCAACTCTTTAAGTTATGTAGTTCAATTTTCTAGGCTTCCAAGGTCAGCTTAGTTTTGGTTCCATAAAAATACCAAGGGATTTAGTCTGTCCACTTCACAAACTCTACCCAAGGAGCTCTTCCTCCATGTTTTAAAAGTGGTAAAATCAGTATATTCTGAAGAATTTATAAATGAACACTCTCAAATTGGCCTTTCTGGCAGTTGGCCTTGGTGCTGTCTGGCTTCTCATAATCTCAGAAATGCAGAATTACATATTGCTGTTTCTGAAATCTTATTTTCCTATAAGCAGTAGAGTTAGATATTTTAAAGTGAACTGCTTTATGAATGTTAATTTTTTATTGTAATTCTCAAATTTCTCTCAAGGGAGCTATATGGTGCATTTAGACTATTTGATAATTTCCTCTTGCCTCTAACTTTCCATACTATCATCTGATAATTTTAATATTTAGATATTTTTGTGACTTTATAAAAAGCATTATAAAGAATTTGAGGAGATTCAGTAGAGGATGACTTGTGATAAATTTAAGAGAAAAATCCACCTAAATTGATCATAAAGAAACAGAATTTTTAAACATTTATTTGTATTGAGTTCTTCATATGTCTTGTCTAGGAAATGTGCGTGGTGATGGGGAATTGTGGATACTGATATTACTATAATAAGTCTGCTAAAAATGAGGTGCAGTGATTCAGTACATTATATACTTCCCAATTTCTTAACTCTAAAACCAAAATTAACTGGACAAATATACCCACTATTTTAACTGGACATATTTTCTTTTTGTGTAAATACAGGACAGCACAATTATCTATGTGCTGGAAGAAATGATTGTATCATTGACAAAATTCGAAGAAAAAACTGTCCGGCCTGTCGCTACCGGAAATGTCTTCAAGCTGGCATGAATCTAGAAGGTAACTTAAAATACTTGAATGGATTGTTTCTCTGAACCCCTAACAAGGATCATTTGGTTTTATCATGTAAGCAGGCATCTGAGCAGTGCCTTAAAATGTTCAAAATAGTTATTCATTATTTTATGGTATAACCCCACATCCTTGTTGGCAAAAATTAAGATTTTCTTTGTGCGCTGCTTCTAATCTTTCCTTCTCTCCTACAACAGCTATATCTCTTACCATACTTGTCTTTTAACAATCCACTGGTATGAACCAATGTCCTGTTTTTATTCACAGACAGAACACATGCACAAAAATTAGGACATTTCTTTCCCCCACCCACACACACAGATATCTCTTGCCCTCTTTCCTTCACTGAATCTCAGACAGCGGGAACCTAGCTATGGGTGAGATGTGGAAAGTATCCTACATATCCCATATCACTTAGGAATATGATGTGCCATTTGAAAACTCAAATGAAGAAAAGATCAAGGACAGAGAACTGAAATGAAGTAGATTTGTGCTTCCAAAATTGAAGGAAGGGAAAGTCTGGGTGGAGAGAGTCAGCCTTCTGTGTAGGCAGTGGAAAATTAATACTTATTTTGGTCCTTAAAAACCTTGTGCCAAATTTTCTGGAAAATATACCATTAACAGATACACACGTACTAGTGTGGGTTGCTTTGTGTTAAGTCATAGATGACTACTGAGAAATCCAAAACCATATCAGCTGCAGATGTAGTGGTTAGCTGCTTTAAAACTTTTTTCCCTAGCATTCAGTATCAAGCATAATCACAGCAAACTTTTTCTACTAATAAATTAGTATAGCTCTCTATTTATGCTTGATACATTTCTATTGAATTGTTGTGATTAATGCCTTTTACTGCCAGGCATACATAGGAATGTAGGACCAGAAGGGACTTCCTGGGTCATAGTCTGTTCCTCTGCTATTGCAGGCAACCCTATCATATAATGCCATTCATAAATTTATGAAATTCCACCTTAAAACTCGTTAAGTTGTTTGCACCCATTACTTATTGGAGGGCTGTTCCAGAACCATGCTCCTCTGATGGTTAGTAACTTTATTCTAATTTCCAGCATAAATTTATTTGTATCCGGTTAATATCCATTTGTTCTTGTGCTAACATTATGCTTTTTTTTAAATAGTTCTTCTCTCTCTTTGGTGTTTACCTTCTGATGTATTTATAGAGAGCAGTCACATTTCCCCTTGGCCAACTACGCCAAGCTGTATTACTCTTATTTTATAAGATAGGTTCTCCTTTCCCTGATCATCCAAGTAGCCCTTCTCTGGTCCTGCTTCAGTTTGAATTAATCTTTCTTGGACATGGATGATGACAGTTGTACAAAGTAATCCTGCTTATTTAGGTGCAGATATCCCAAAGATATGTATATATCCAAAATTGTTAGATATATGTAAAATATATTTTGTTGGATATAAATTTGTAAATAATTTGCAGTTGATTTTAAACAAAAAACAAAACATGAAGCTTGAGTGGCAAGGTAACTGTTGGAAACCCAAAATAATGGCTCTGTATTGATCTAACAAACAAAGAAAATTAACAAAATATTAAGTGAAGAGTTACCCTTCATTATAAAAATGATGTGGCAAACCAGGAGTCTGGTTAAGTGAGCTTTTGAAATGTTAAGTATCCAATATAGTGACAAGTATCAGGAGGTAGTCTGTATCCACAAAAAGAACAAGGAGACTGGTGACACCTTAAAGACTAACAGATTTATTTGGGCATAAGCTTTCATAGCATTTTGGTTTTGAATTGCCTGCTTAGGTTCAAATCCTAGATTTGGCTTTTGGTTATTAAAAGCCATACTGTACGAAATTAACAAAACTCCTGTTTTATTGTATGTTAACTGGTTACATGTTCTTTCTGGCCTTTTCTTTGCCAAAATATATTAAACATTTGCATTGCATTGCAATTAGTTGAAATATAGGAATGAGAAAATTAATTTATTGGAAAGATAGGGTGCAGGGAGAGATTTCTAACTCAGATTCTATAGCTTTGGAAAATAGAAAAACATTTCCTGCCAGCATGGAAAGTTTCTATTTTAAAACTTTATAGATTCAAATAAAATAATGAAAAAGAATCCAACGCAGGCATGTGTGCACGCAGGAATGTGCCACCACAGCCACGCTGCCATTTTTAGTATGCTAGCACAAGCAGAGCTAGCGCATCTGCTTATCCGCCCTGGGAAGTACCTTTCCAGCTGTTATATTGGCATACCCAAAAAGAATGTGAGCAGCTCTCTCATCCAAATTAAGATTTTTGCCCTTTTGCTTTAACACTTTTGGATGGCAAAAGTGACTGGCAGGACTAGTAGTTTGAAAAGGTGTTACAAGATCTGCTATCTCAGCTCGGTTTGTTTCTACACAAAACAACTGTGCAGATTTTGGAAAAAGTGTATTTCTCTTTTTAAAGGATGGAAATCTCAACATCCCTAAGGTGCAAAGCATGATCAGCTGCTAAAGTTAAACATATGAACTATCCTGATCAAAGAAATGTGTTGTGTATTTTCTCTCTCTAAAACACAATTGTGTGGCATTTTAGGGGACTTGAACTTCATCTCTTTCAGAGGAAATCACAATTATGGAAACTGGCAAATGTAATATATTTCTCACCTTTCTCCAAGTTAAAAGCTATCATTTAGATGGAGATCAGTACTGCCTTCCAAACTTCTTATCTAGAAGCTGAGTTTCCTTTCCAGTTACCTGAATTTGAATTTGGCATTCAGTGTAGTTGTAGCTGTGTCAGTCCCAGGATATTAGAGAGACAAGGTGAGTGAAGTAATATTTTTTATTGGACCAAATTCTTTTGGTGAGAGAGACAAGTTTTTGAGCTACACAAGGTTGGTGGAAACCAGTGTGTAACTGGAGTGTTGCTGGCAGATTGCATTTATACACAGACATTCAGGATGTGACCTGCATGCTGTTTGGTTGTTTTGTGAGGGGCCCAAGATTGCACGGCAGGTGATGACCAACCCCTCACTACTTTGGATTACACTTGGAATGTGCTAGTGAATTTTGCACTTGTTCAGGGGTTAATATGGAAAGTGTAAAATAAAGGAGTTGTTGGAACTGCTAGTTTAAGCTTCCATTTTAAGATATGAGGCAATGTTAACTTTTCACATTGAAAACTTCAGTCTAAAAACTACACAAAGGCAAGAGAACTATTGGTGTCACATACACTTTTTAGTCTTAAATAGGTTTTTGGTTAATCATCCTGATCTGATATTAACTGTACAAAGTTAATATAGAGATGCCATTAGTATCCAGGGTACTTGGTTGCAGCTTGTACTCTAGTTTAACTGCTTATAATCGGACTCCACAAGCCCTATTATAATATTGAGTTTCCCAGTCTTCTTTGATAGGTTCTATTTTTAAGGCTTTATACCTTGGCACTAAACTAATTGTGGATTTAACTGTAGCATATCATATACTGTCTGCTCTTGGATTTTTATTTCCCGATTCTTACAGAGTGCATGGACTTAGTATGTAAGGTATTTTTACAAAAGTGAGCAATTTTAACAAGCAGGTTTAAAATCTAAGTATGATTTACCTAGTCGTGGTATACAATAGACAAGTGTTGCCTTGTTAAGGGGTGTAATAGCCAAGTAGCAGGTAGAGTTTACAGTAATATAAATTAAATGGAATCTAATAGTGCAAAATGCAAGATCATGCTCTTAGGGACTAACAAGAATTTTTGCTATAACCTGAGGGCTTATGAGTTGGAAGCAACAGAGGAGAAGAAAGACCTGGATGTATTGGTTGATCACAGGATGACTATTAGCCACCAGTCTGATGCAGCTGTGAAAAAAGCTAATGCAGTCCTAGGATGCATCAGGCGAGAGGTATTTCCAGTAGAGACAGGGAAGTGTTAGTACTGTTACACAAGGCACTGGCGAGACCTCATCTGGAATACTGTGTGCAATTCTGGTTTCCCATGTTTAAGAAAGATTAATTCAAACTTGAACCAGTGCAGAGAAGGGCTATTAGGATGATCAGAGAATGGAAAATCTACCTTATGAGAGGAGACTCCGAGCTTGTTTGTTTAGCCTAACCAAACAAAGGCTGAGGGGAGATATGATTGTTCTCTATAAATACATCAGAGGGATAAATAACAGGGAGGAGGAGGAGGAGTTACTTAAGTTAAGCACCAGTGTTGACGCAAGAAGGAATGAATATAAACTGGCCATCAACACCTTTAGGCTTCATATTAGACAAAGGTTTCTAACCATTAAAAGAGTGGAGTTCTGGAACAGCCTTCCAAGGGGAGTTGTGGGGGCAAAAAACCTAACTGTCTGAGCTTGATAAGTTTATGGAGGGGATGTTATGATGAGATTGCCTACAATGGCATGTAGCTGATCTGGCGACTGCTAGTTGCAAATATCTCCAATGATGGGACACTAAATGGGAAGGGCTCTGAGTTACTACAGATAATTCTTTCCCAGGGGTCTTTCCACATGCTCAGGGTTTAACTGAGCCCCATATTTGGCATTTGTAAGGAATTTCTTCCTGATCAGATTGGCAGAGACCCTGAGGGGTTTTCACCTTCCTCTGCAGAATGGGCACTGCTCACTTGCAGGTTTAAACTAGTGCAAATGGTGGATTCTCTGTAACTTGAAATCTTTAACTCATGATTTGAAGTCCTCAGTAACTCTGCGAGAGATTAGGGGTCTATTACAGGAGTGGGTGGGTGAGGTTCTGTGGCCTGCAGTGTGTAGGAGATCAGACTAGATGATCATGATGGTCCCTTCTGACCTTAAAAATCTTATAAGTCTGTAAAGCCCACTCTAAAGGAGGTTTGGGAGTACAACTTTCAATTTGGAATGAGAAATAAAATGACATTTTTAAAATGGATTTTAGTTTATGTTGTAGTATTATGTTTCTGGTTTTCAGACTTTTTTCCACACTTGTTACGGAAACACAGCTTTTTATTTTAAAATCTGATTTGATAAACCTTTCTCTCTAATGCAAAATAATGCCTCCGGAA